CCCTCCCTAACACGCCCACCTCCAGCACAACCTTGACGCAGCATCCTTTGGCAGGATGCTCTTCTACTCACACACACACACTGGCGGAAGCAGGGGCTGGTGTAATGACTTAGTGGGTACCACAAGTTATTTATCCCCTGATATCCCAGACTTAACATCCTGGTCTCAGGCGGTAACGTTAACGTTATAGGTAGTAGGCAGCTACCAAACAGGGAGGTACTACCGCCTGGGAAGATAATGGAAGCATAATGTGTTGTTTAATGGTAGACCCTGCTGCCATATGGCATCACAAAAATTGTGACCAAGTCCCAGGTTGCTGATCTGTCTTTCTGCCTCATTTACACATAATTGCAGGGTCTGAATTGTTTCTCTTACTTTTGACACCACAACATACTTATATTGTTTCTCACTCTTGATTTTTTTGTATCTCTTTATTATTATTATTATTATTATTATTATTGTTATTATCGTTATTATTGTTATTATTGTTATTATTATTATTATTATTATTATTATTATTATTATTATTATTATTATTATTATTATTATTATTATTATTATTATTATTATTATTATTATTATTACTACTACATTTTCGCCCCCCAGGCCCCGATGTGAGTCAGTGACCTGTGCCTGGGTGGACTCATCCCAGTAAAAAAAAAAAAATCATTGTCTTTGTTATTATTGTCGTGTATTTATAAATTCATTTCATTACATCAGCACAAGTCGTCTTTAGTTTTGTTGGAATATGTACTGAATTCGGGTAAAATATTATCTCCGTGGGAACTATAATGTACAGCATTAAAATGAGATATTACCAAAAACACTAATGTGATTTGTTGAAAACGACAGCCAAGGCTTTAATCTGGTGGTGTGAGTGGGTGAGTCGGCCTCACACAGCCCCCGGCACCAGTCTCTCCCTCAGGCCAAATTTTAGTTATGATAATCAGTAATTATAGCGGGGGAGAGAAGCAAGGGAGGGAGGTGTATCTACAGGATGGAGGGAGAGAATGCAGGGGTTGAAGGAGATGCAAGTGGCAAGGGTGGGGTAACCTGGGGGAGGCAGCAGCACTCCCACAAGGTCACCCGGCCGGACACAATCGGGCCGCACCTTTGTTTTGCTATTGCCAAGTTGTTGTTGATTATCCTGGTTGGTCCAGGTGCTGCCACCACTGTGCTTTACACACACACACACACACGTGTGTAACAACAAAGCAACAACTTATATGAATTTATACAGGATTTTTTTATCAACTTGATCAGCTGCAGGATAAATCTAATCTGGTCCCAGCTGTCCTACCCCCCTTCCCTCCCCTCACCAGTACCACCTCATCCCCCGCCCCCCTCATCTTAAGAGATCATCAAGGACCCATTAGCATCAAGGACAAGGCGCGATGTCTCCTCCTCACCCTCCTCCGCCTCCACTCCAAGATCATCGTTCGTAATTGCTCTGTGTAGTATTTCCTTACATAATTTAGGAAGTTTATGAGAAAAAAAACTATGGCAGGTCTTATTATAACTGTTAGAATAATATTTCCTGTTTTATTTTTATCACCCGTTGAATTAGTAACTGTCTATGGAAATTAAAATGTGTTAGATTATAAAAAGAAATTCAATAATGAGTTCGTGTCATAAGACTCATGAAATCAACCGTTTATAGTTGTATTAATGAAGGATGTCCTGCTGGTGAATGACGTCAGGCTGTCACGCTGTGGTCGAGGCGTTCATTACTACCGTGACAACAACGATGCTCACTTGTCACTCCCTCTTCCAGGCTGTTGTTGACGTACTAGTTAATGCCATAACAACAGATACCCACTGACGTCATTACCTAGCCCGGCTGTCATCCCTGCTGTAATAACGGAACACGTGATGTCATTAAACTCTTTTGGTCCATGATAGTGATGGTTGAAACGCGCGTTACCGACATGACATCATCAGTGATAACAATGTCCAGTGACGTCATCTTTTCGTCCGGTTGTAATTAACGCGCCTGTTATTGGCACGACGGCAACTAGTGACATCATTCCTCTCCTACGACGACGCTTACTGACACATTTTCACCACGGAGGAACAGAGAGAAGTGAACAAGTGATGAACAGAAAGGAAGGAAGAACAACAAAGACTAAAGTAATGGAAGAGGAGAAAGAGGAATAAATTGAACAAAGAATGAATGAAGAGGAGAGCGAGTCAGTGAGAAATATTGGGTGATTGAATGTAAGTAATGAATGTAAGAGAAAGAATGAGAGAGGAAGAACACGGAGGGGAAGAATAACTCGAGTGAAAAATATGAAAGTGAACTGGATAAATATGAGAGATATAAAGGAAAAATGTGAATAACAGGTGAGTAAATAAGGTGAATCGTAGGTGAGTAAAACCAAGAATATTGAATGAGTGACAGGTGGTTGACACAGGGGTGAGAAAAACACACGGATGTATAAACCAACACCATCATAGCATCACCATAACATCACCATAACATCACCATAACACCACCATAACATCACCATAACATCACCATAACACCACCATAACATCACCATAACATCACCATAACATCACCTTTTAACGTATAATTCACCACAAGACACTCTCACCGCCCTCAATAACGCCATTACAGAAGTCATTCCTCCACTATAAACTTACTTTGTATCTCCAATGGCGCAAACTGCTGTTGTCTCTATGTTCTGGTTTTTCCTTGGAGTTAGCTATCGCGAGGTAAACCATAATGGAATAATGAGTGTCTCGCGAGGAACGACGAGATAGAGCCATAAAGCGAGACCTCATAGAGAAACGAGACTTGAGCGAGATACTAGATCACTGTTGAGCAATAAAACAATTTTGGTTGAAACTTTTCTCAGACATCTGTTCATAAAGTGGCCTATTTTCGACAACAACAGAAGTTAGTGTTTTTTTTTTCATCAACAATAACAAAAGTGTCAATTTAAACCAAAGTTAATGACGATTTTTTTTTAACAATAAAACTTAAAGGTTCACCTGAAGAATCTGCACCCCAGGTTAAGTTAGGTTAGTGTTCGGGTGATTAATCTTTGGTGGGATGCAAATTCTTCAGGTGATCTAACTTAAATCCGACTTTTTTTGAGGAATAGAAGCGACAATTTTTTTTAGCAACAATAGCGACAAAAGTTAGCGACGATATTTATTTTTTACGGGACACTAACACAAATTAAGTGATAATTTTTAACATTTTGAACCACGACAGAAGTCAATTGGGATATCGTTTAGTATACGTCTGTCTCCCATCAACACTGGGTCGGATCTACACTCACCTGGATGTTATATTGGTATACAGGTATATGAAAGCCACATTAAAAGATGAAAAACTTGCGCCTCAGCACCACAGTTAAGATGTCTACTGATATCCCGTTCTGATGTGCCTACAAGAAACCAAACTGAAGAGAGGAGGTCAGTGAGCTAGGAAGTTACTGTTGGTGAGAGAGATGGTTCTATTTTGTAATGTGGATTTTGTGTATATCTTTAGTAAACTTATATGTGTTATATAGTTCAGTGAAGATGCATGAAAATGGGAAAAAATGAACTTAATAGATAAATAAATAAATAATAGATACGTTTTTTAACATATTGATTTTCTTTGGCATTTGTTTACCTCTAACAAACCACAACCCACAGCGATACGTGTCAACAAGATGGATGATGACGCTACCAAATTTTTGCGGACAAGAGATGATGAAGCCACACCCGTTTTCTCACTCTCGATACTTCTCCATCTATATGTATTGAAATTAAAGTTCTGAATAGGGTGTAATCCTCTCATTCGGGTTGTATAGTATATGGTGGTACACGGGGCGCTCCGGGGCTGATGAACTTTACCCCGCTGTCTTTAGGGTTTGTTGAGGAAGCCGCCAGATGTAGGGTTTGATCTTCTTCAACCTAAATGGGACTTTGAACCGAATTATATTAGTTTTGTTGGGGAAGTCATGGGTGATATTATAGTTCGCAGTCTACCGGTATATTTACACTATAGTCCATTAACCTTACCTAGATTAAGTCGTTATCTCAATCTAGGCACTTATTTTCGAGGCGACTGAGGTATACATGTTAATGCTAAACATGTCAGGAGAAACAAGGTTAAGGCGTCACAATATTTAGAGCTGTAGTAATGAGTTAGGCTGTCACTACTGTATGCTCATGTTTTCAGTTTTATAGTTATGATATTTTTCAGGTGAGATAAAAGTTTGTTATAAATTGAATGACTAAATAATCATGACTTGTATATCAGTGTGTTTCAGAACCTGTTGTATACATTATGAAGTAGTGTGGACTTATTTTGAGAAGTATACCGATGTTTATTGACGATCTAAATAATACTGCGTGTGTGTCCCGAGGCTGCCGGTACGTCCTCTTAACACCTGGGTACTGTACACCGCACCAGGTCAAGACGTTACCGAGCATGTCAACAACCTTCGTCCAGCAGCAGGTTGTGTGGCCTATTTTTGTACGTAATGCAAAAACACCCTCAGAACAGAACAGTACAGTACAGTGACAGTGTACCACAGCTCTGCCTCTCACATGACTCCCCGCATTTGATATCAGTAGGTTCCATCACTGTATAATATTTACTTAAAGAGAAATTTCAACGCGTAAACAAGAAGTGACCCAGGTAGCTGCCCACTGCTCTCTCTCTCCCTCCACGTTGCTGCCCCTGCCTCACACACACACACACACACACTTATTGATATCTACTTGCGCTGACTTACCCTCAGCAGAAGCATTGCCAGGATGACAGTCACGAGCAATATTGTAAATCATCAATATTCAACTCGGATAAACACAGAAGTTATAAATCTGATCCCTAAACTTGTATCGTTAAACATACTTTTTTTTTTTTTTAGTTTTCATGATTGTAAAACACACACACACACACATCACTGGACATGTAGTTGTCCCTCTGGTAGGCTGAGTGTCCCAGGCGGTGTGGTAATATAGGTTACGTTGTGGTGGACATCTAGTCAACTTACCTTTCAGCCAGCCTCACGGTCCACGGGCTTTTTCTTGCTATTTTTAATTGATATCCTCAGCAGAAGTTATTCCTCACTGGCAATATACGATAAGAGATACACGGAATTCACTAGTATGGAGTTGTACTAATGTCATCACTCTTAACACACTGGAGGAGTTTAAAACAGGATAAAATGACTGCTCCTCACAACGTCTGCGACACCCTCACTCGACCACAGTTTCAAACGCACTACCCATGTTGGTGTTTGAGTGGCTCCAGGACTTTCTCGCTAAGGCGCCTCCTTCTCTCGCCAACCACCAGCGCCATCTCTTGTCAGTCCTAACAACCCTATACACAACATCTTATACATTTTTTTCATTTATTTCCTCTCGCTAATCCTACTGTTTAACGTGATATGATCCTTCACTAATATAAACGATATTCTTCACAATGATACAATTAACTTACAAGGATAACCTAATTAGAACGTATGGTCTAGGGAAGGAATTCCAGTAACGCCTGCGATTAGTCTCTCGAGTGACAGAAATCTTTTAATTGCCCATAAGTTCTGAACCAAGAAGACAAAATTCCTGGACTTGTCGTTCCTCGCATACCGGTGAGGCTGTCTAGCTTGGTGTCCGTTAGATGGCTCTTCTGATAACAAGTTGAAGCTTCCAGTACTTGTTATGACCTGCTGATGCTCCCTCTTGACCTGCTGAAGCTTATACTACGTTTTATGACCTGCTGATGCTACCTGCTGAAGCTTCCACTATTTATGGCCTGCTGATGCTGCTTTCTGACCTGCTGAAGCTGCCACCTACTTGCTATGACCTGCTGATGCTGCCTCCTGACCTGCTGAAGCTGCCGCTACTTGATATGACCTGCTGAAGCTGCCTCTTGACCTGAAGCTGCCACTACCTATGACCTGCTGATGCTGCCTGCTGACCTGCTGAAGCTTCCACGACTCGTTATGACCTGCTGAAGCGTCCACGACTTGTTTTGACCTGCTGATGCTGCCTGCTGACCTGCTGAAGCTTCCACTTCTTATGACCTGCTGAAGCGTCCACTACTTGTTATGACCTGCTGATGCTTCCTGCTGAAGCTTCCACTACTTTTCGTTACCTGCTGATGGTGCCTGCTGACGTCCTGAAGTTTCCATTACTTGTTATGACCTACTAGTGCTGCCTGCTGACCTGCTGAAGGTTCCACTAGTTATGACCTGCTACTACTATCAGCACTATGACTACAATGCAACATCAGCACAACAGAAAAGAAGCAACAGGAGCAAGAGCACACAGCAGCGAGTGCCGTAGAAGCATCATCATTATCAGGAGAGTGGAGGGAGGGAGAGTGAGGGCAGGTGAGCGTGTGGGCGGGGCCAAGCGTGACGCCGCACTGATTGCCTCCACCACCACTCTTCCTGCTCCCTCTCCCAACGCCTCCCTGTTTTTATAACATACCACTGGAAAAAAAATAGATAGTTGAACAATTATATGGTCCCTAAGGCGCTTATACTGATAGTTATGAACCACAGCCAGTATATTCACTTCATTTATAAGATAAACTAATTTTTTTTTTTTTGGGGGGTGAGGGCTACGTTAAAATGTATGCGCCAAAGAAGACATTTAAAGACGACTTATAAAAAATACAGTATTCATATAACTTCTTATGAGGAGGCCTTCAGACTTGTGTATACAGATCCCAGTTTTGATCGTGGAAGATCCAGTGTTAGTTCAGGAGGAAGCTGTTGTCCCTAGAGAAAACCTGACATTTTCGGTAAGGTGACGCAGGACAGCACCCTTCTCACGTCCGACCCAAACGGAAAACGAGTTTGAGTTACAATTATAAGAGGGAAACACACTACCACAGTGCCAACAACATCCGCACTTACACCTGGGCGCACCTGTACAGACCTGTTGACACACCTGGGCCCCGTCTAGGAGTCTCGTAAATCAGTGGCTTTGGGTGGTGACATTCGTTGGTAATTGATGACACGATGAGAGACAACATTATTACCTGCTATTCACTCGTCCTTAGTACTACATACATACATACATACATACATGCATACATACATACATACATACATACATACATACATACATACATACATACATACATACATACATACATACATACATACACCTTTCACATAAACCACTTGGAGAAAAAATTATAAACTTTCATCGGCTTTGTAGAGGTAGACGTAATTATACTGTAGTAAGGCCAGGCGTCCCTCCGTTACACCTCGATAATTGCTACTCACTCCGTCGACTTGATCCCAGAGGTTAGGTTAGGCCATGTGAATTAGTGTCTGGTGGGCAGCGGTGAACGAGCCACCAGGTATAACTGTGTTGTTCACTGCCCATGGGTGGGTGTGTGTGTGTGTGTGTGTATGTATGTATGTATGTATGTATGTATGTATGTATGTGTGTGTGTGTGTGTGTGTGTGTGTAGTGAGCCAACATATAAAAAAGTTAATGGTGCATTGTGCTCACAGGTCGGTACCACAACCGCCCTCATACATTAACTCTCTCATCCCTCTAACCATACCCGTACTGGTGGCTTGACCTGAATAAATTATACGTGATGCAACGAAGAGAGAGAGAGAGAGAGAGAGAGAGAGAGAGAGAGAGAGTTGTTATGATGGTCAACCTTGAGACAGTAAGGGTGGAAGGTTCTCAAGGGCCCTCGTTACTCTCACCACTACTCACATCCGCTACATCCTTCACCAACAGTCCACTACAGTACATTCTAACGTGTACCCCCCACCAACCATATTATCCTCATCCACACACACACCCTGTGACCCTTACCCCCATACCCTGTCATTATATCACACACCCCTCCCTATCTTATCACACACACCTCCCTGTCCTCTTATCACACACACACTACACACCCTACCACCCTTATCACACACACACACACACACCTACTACACACACCCTGTCACTCTTATCACACACACACTACACCCCTGTCACCCACCACACCCTACACACCCTGTCACCCTTACCACACACACCCTACACTCCCTGCCACCCTTACCACACACACAAAAGAACAAAATCATAATAAAGTAAACAGCAGAATGTCTCTTGGCCTCTACACGTCCTGCTCTTATGTTCACCCAACCCTTGTTACTTGTGTCCATCCTATATTTAAAACTTACAAACCCACTCCCATTATATCATTAGTTAGTAAATACCTATCTTTACCTGTTTCAGTTCTATTGTTAGGAGTTTAGTCTCCATTTGAACTATTGATATCACCATTATTTAACCTTATTTTCCCTCAGTATACGATAATCATGTTGCCCCTCACTCTACGTCTTTTAAGGGAATGTACAGTCAATTTACTTAGTCTTTATACGGATGGTTTGTGATAATTCTTGTGATTAACTTTGTCATCCGTCTGTAAATGTGTCCAAGGGAATTTGTAGTCAGTGTATTGTACGATGGTGAAAACTGTACAGCGTCTTGAGCCAAGGAAGGTCCTCAGGTACACTTTTGATAAATATGTGGAGTGGCGTTTGTAGTTACTTCGTACAAAGGGACATTACAAAGGTACTCAAATTATCCAACCAGGAGCGAACTCGTAACAATGGTTTTAAATTAGACAAATTTAGATTTAGGCTTGAAATAGGTTAACACTGGTTTGGAACAGAGTAGTGGATGAATGGAACAAGTTACCAAATATCATCATTAACTCGAATACGCTGAATTGCTTCAAACATAGGTTGGATGCTCATATATGAGCAATAGGGGTTGGGTGTAAACGGGACTGCCCAGTATGGGCTAATAGGCCAGTGCAGTTTCCTCCATTCTTATGTTCATATCTGTTAATAACGCTCCTGGGATATGGAAACTAACCACCACACACACCCCATCACAACCACCTGATACTTCCCCCCCCATACCTATCACACACACACACCTTGCATCATTCAACCACACACACACACACACACACCCTATCACCTCACACCTCACTACACCCTCATCCTTCACACAGTCCATCAACACTGACCACACCGACCATGAACCCCCCCCCCATCCAGCACTACACCCACCATCTCAACACACACACCTCCGTCATACAGTTTCATGCCCCTAATACACACACTCACACGACCTCCATCACGTTACACCACATCTCCATCACCTCTATCCCTCACTGTGCTCCCGGGAAACACAGAATGGTAATCACTCAATGCCGTCACACTCACATACTCTTTAGGTACCAGACACATCCGACAGCACCCAGCCCACATACAGTCACTACGCCACACCATAGCACCATTACGCACCACTACTACAACACACTAACACTACACCAGTGCCTCACACGTCAAACTCATACACACTACCACCACTACACACCACCACACCAGTACGACACAATTACTCAACTTGCTTTGCACTTTGCATAACTACATACCTCCCCCCACCTTGATGCACCATATGTAGCACACACACTGACACACCAACCACAGCCCTGACACAGTACCAGCATACATATGTCACACTACAAACACACATTAGTATTTCACCACACTTCTCAACATCATCATATAAGCTCACCAGTTTTGTACCACGATTTTCAACGCTCAGAATTTACAAAGAGAAATCTGTACATACAATTTGCTTTAACATTTCAGTTGACAGGTGGCAGTGTGTTGCTCTTTCCCCGTCTGGTGTATTTGGTGGGAGGGGGAGACCCGAGAGGGGGTTAAGGATGGGAGTACCCTCGGCGGCGCCCCGTTGACGCCAGGTAGTGGGAGTGTCGCGCCTGCCTCAGTATGGTCACCCAGTCGTACGCTGCCGACGCCACCACTCACCCTGTAAACACGCGGCGCACCCACCCACGCCCTACCCTGATATAGTAGGCCCCACCCTCCTTCCCTCCCTCTTATAGTAGGCCACTCCTTCTCTCATATTGTGGGCCCCACCCTCTCTCTCTCTCTGCCCTCACCCCCTCCCCTCCGCATATAGTACTGGTATGTCACTCCCTCCTTCATAGATTAAACCCCATTCGCTCCTTCCCTCATAGTCTAATACCCCTTCTATATGGAGCATATATATCGCAATAGCTTACATATATTAGGCTTTAAGTTTATGGGTAGAGGCCATAAAGTACCTGTAAAAGAGAGAGAGTGAAGCAACATTGCGGCGAAGAGAAAGGGAAGAAAGATTGTCAACTAAAGGAGGAGAGTTAATAAGACGAAATGCCTTTG